AATGAATGATGATGAAAAGGAAGGAGAAGAAAACATTTCTTCTTAAAACAAAGTTCTAAGTTCCTCAACTTCAAGTTCAGAGTAAAGAATAATTTCTTGGTAAGAGAGTTTTTAGAACCTGATGGGATCAAGAATCAAGAAGCAAGCTAAGGGGCTGGAGGAGTGACTCGAGTGGTAGAGCACCTGCTTAACAAGTGTGAGACCCTGAGTTCAAACCCCAGTGCTGGTTAAAAAAAAAACAAAAAACAAAAAACAAGCTAAGAAAACTTGAAGGGTGAGACAATTATTTGAGAACATTTCACCTCTCTTCTTCCTTTCCAAGGTATCTTAGACCTTGGTAACCAATACTAAAAAAACACCTTTTTTTTTTTTTTTTTTTTTGGTGGTGGTACTAGGGATTGAACTCAGGGCTTCACATTTACTAGGCAGATGCTTTACTTCTTGAGTCACTCCACCAGCCCCTTTTATGCTGATTATTTTTGAGATTGGGTCTCATTTCATGTCCAGGACATCCTGCATTATAATCCTTTTATAAGCTGGGATCACACACACACACACACACACACACACACACACACACACAGAGGCCACCATGCCTAGCTATTGGTTGAGATGAGGTCTCATGAACTTTTTACTCAGGTTGGCCTTGAACTGTGATCCTTCCAATCTCTGCCTCCCAAGATTATCAGCTTCAGTCACCATGCCCGGCTGGAAAAGTCTTTTATTTAAGAAAAAAAACAACCATCTACTCAGAGGTCCAGGGACTTGTGCTTGTTAGGCAAGTGCTCTACCACTGAGCTACATGTTCAGCCTATGCTTCTTAATTTTGACTATTCCTGCTGACAAGACTCACCACCCACCAGATTTGTAAGTCACTTTTTCCTCTGTAAAATGGGGGAAATTTTTATGCCTACTTTTCAGAAGCTCTTGGAACATGAAGAGGATTCTATGTAGGTGAAAGCTATATGCAAACTGCAATCATCAGTGCACTTTAATGGGAAGAGATGGTGTGTGGAGTCTGACTTGGGTTGGACTTCACTTCTACCACTCACTAGCAGTGTGACCTTGGGTGAATAGTTACCTGTCTCTGAGCCCCAGGTTCCTATTAGTAGTATATACAATTCACAGGCTTGTTTTAGAAATTAAATAAGGATAAGTGAGATAACATGAGTGTTGGCATACAGTAGGTGCTCAGCAAATGTTCCTCTTCAAACACAGGCACACACAGCACTTAAAGCAGTTTGGGTAACAAAGTGTTCTCAGTCTGAAGGAGAAGAAAACTGGCAGCCAATAAGCTCTCTTTCTAGTTTCCATTCTGAGAGAGGAACTCACTGGCCAGAGTCCAGGACTGTCACAGATGTGGAGGACAGGCAGCCAAATGCCAGCCTCCCACATGGAGTTTCCAAAAAGTGTGAGCACAGAGTTGCATAACCTGTTCCTAAGACATGGCTCTGAAGAAGGGCTTTCATAAACTATTCTCCGAAAAGAAACACGTGAGCAAGGCAATGGAGCAATTGAAAGGGAAGAAGAGGGGAGGGAGAGAAGGAGCTGGGGAATCTTGGGAGTGGGGGTGGGATTAGGAAGAGAGGGAACCACATCTATTAAGCTCCTACTATGTGCCAACCACCAAGTGCTTTCTGTCTCATTCTTAGTAAAATCTTTGTCATAAATCTGAGAGTTCAGATATTTCTACTCCCACATTCCAAGGAAAGAAGTAATATCATAATAATTGATATCACTAATGTTTACACAGCACCAACTACTTATCAGGCAATGAGCCAAGCACACATTTGATCCTCAGGGTAGTCCATAATATGGGTGCTGGTCTGATCCTCGTTTTGTAGAAGAGAAAACCAACAAGACTGAGGGAGGTGAAACAACTTCTCCAAGGTGACCCAGCAAGGTAGTAGTAGAACCAGGATTTGAATCTGAGCAGGGCTCCAAAGCCCATGGAACTGTTTTCTCAAGGTATTTATGGGGGCAGATCAGAAAGTGACCCAGTAGGAGCTGTCCTTACATGCTCACTGTGGGGCCCCAGTGTGGTGATGACGTAAGTGACCAGAGGCAGTCACCTCCCTTCCACCCAGAGGACAGTTTGTCCCAACTGTGGCTGCTTGTCACTCTGTCTCTGACCTAAAGTTTAAGCCTCATTCATAAGTTTATAACCACAGAATTGGCAGTGTGGGAAGGGTGCTTGGAGACCAGCTATTCTAGTCCAACCCACTCATAATGCAGATGGAAGCAAAACAAAACAAAACCCTGAAGGCCAATGTGAGCCATGGACACACCAAGGTCACGGGGAAAATTTCATTTCCGTTAGACAAAGAAGCTAGTTGGGGTCAACTACAGAGCATCTTGTTCTATAGTTACTAAATGTGGCTGTACCTCTGATTAACCTGGACAACTCTTCTTTGCTTGTTTTGTGGTTCTAGGGATTGAATCCAGGGTCTCACTTGTACATGCCAGGTAAACAGCCCTATCATTTGAGTCACATTCCTAGTCTTTTCTTTTTGGTTTTGTGAGATGAGGTCTCTTTATGAAGCCGAGGTTGGCCTGGGAACTTGTGATCCTCCTGCCTCAGAGGCCTCTGGAATGCTGGGTTACAGGCAGGTGCTATCACATCCTTAGCTTTAAACACACAGTTTTTGCTAGAGATGTAGGAGAGGGCCCTAGGACTGATTTTCGACACTACAATGTGTGTGTGTGTGTGTGTGTGTGTGCGCACAGGGTGTAGAGTTCTACCCTTGCTTTTGAAGATTTAGACTTCAGTTTGCAACAAGGCTTAGGAATCTGAATATGGAATATGTTCCTCGGGTAATTCAGATGGCACAGGGCCATGGATTGTATTTGGAAGCTGGAATCCAGTGTCCTGTTTCATTTTGTAGTTTGAGCTATTAAGACTTAACAAGGGACTTACCCAAGGAGACATAGCAAGTCTGCTCAGACTGTGTGGTCTGAACCAGGCTACCTGGTTTCACAAATAGCCCAAGGAGGGTGGCCAAACCCTGGTTTATCACAGCTTTTGGTTTGCTTGTACTCAAATTAAGACACAGGATGGTGCCCATTTCTGAGGTTTGGCAAAGTGCGAGTTCAAAAGCTCAACTTCCAAAGGAAAAAGGAAACGGCAGGAAGTGAGCTGGCCAGACAGTGGGGTTTTCCCAGAGGTAGGCTCTAAGCTCAGGGGATAGGATGACGTCAGATATGAGCCATCCATGCAATCCTAACTAGGACAAGCTCTAGGCTACCTGTGTTTTTCACTTCAAAAGAATGGCTAGGAAGAGCCTTGCCTGTGGGGGATGAAATGGGGTGGAATGGGTCCAGCTGTGACGTGAAGGGGCAGAGTCCAGCACCTGGAAGGAAGACAGAGCTGCCTGTGGGAACTAAGTCAAACCTCCCCAGAACTTTTCCTAAACCTTTTCTCTCACCTCTCTTGGATTCCCTTCCCCCAGTGCTACCTGAGTGAAGGAATTAACTGATCTTTTCGACTTCCTATCCACTACACCACTTAAAAATTTCACTATCTCCTACCTTCCTTTCTTCTTTTTCTGGAATGAATTTGGTGTGTGTAGTCAGCTGTCCTGTGTTTGAGTCCAGCACCACTTTCCTCATCTATAAAATGGGGGAACAGTATCTATCTTCTTGGATTGTGGGGACCAAATGAGAGCAGGTAGACGTTTGATAAACAGGATGGTTCTCACAAACACTGGATCATGTGAGCTATCAGAGGATTGGAAGAATTTGATTATGTATTTATTGCACTGAATTGAGATGCCTAAAAGAATGGTTGAGCTGGAAAGCACCTTGGAAATCTTTGGATCTTAATAACTCCAAGTCCAAGTGATTGTTTACAGTGTTTCCAAATGGCTATGTACTTGCTCTTGATAAAGCCTAGAATAAAGTCTAGTTTCTTTATTTTTGTCTGGAATCATATCAAGTCAAGGTGATAACATAGCTATCACGTGCTGTCCAGAAATTCTCATTGGCAGTTAAATGGATCTTTGATAAAATTTTTCATGGGAAAATAATTAGTAGAGTGTAGATTAAACGTTCTAAAATGTTAATGTTGTCCGACTCCTCATTTCATAAACAGGGAAGCTGAGGTTTAAAGAAGGAAGTGATTTGCTAGACATCCAGTCAGTAAAGGGTGGAACTGACTCTAAAACTCAACTTCTTTTCCTAGAAGCAGCTACTTCCCTTCTTCCTCCTCAGAGAGGGTGAACCTAGCTAGCATCAATGAAGTTGGGGAGTTGTTCTTCTGGGACAGGAATAAAGTGAGTCATTAATTTGCTGTTGTCCTTTTTCTGTTCTTGACTCATTCAGCAAATATTTACTTACTGTCTACTATTCAGACTCAGAAAAGGCAGAGCTAAAATAGTCATGGCGGCAGGCAAGGATCACGATTTTGACCCCAGATATGACTTTGGAACTTGTCGGTTTTTTCCTGCTGGGTATTCACATAAAAATACCCACTACTCTGCTATCTAATGTTACCAAGTCTGCGAGCAGGCACTGTCTCATATATGTCCTAACATGCGTAGTAACCAGTAGAGGCAAAATAAACGTTGTAGTATTTAGACGCAACTGAATTCAAACCCTAATATTGCCACTAACTCCACCTGATACAATGGTGCTTACCTTCTCTGGCCTCTAGTTTAACGGGAACTGTGGCAAAAAATGTAGAAGGGCTGGCAAGTTCAAGTTATCCTAGACTCTAGGGGAGGAAGACATTGGGAATGCAAACTGAAAATAATCAACATTTACACCTTTACAAATGTATTTCCCTCTCCCAGCTGCTCTTCTTTTTTTCGAAATGCTCCCTCTAGAGGGCACGCAAGCTCTACGGCTTTGCTGCCTCACTTCGGCTCGCCTTCGCCGTTGATTCTGCGCATGTGCGGAGCTCGTTTTCCTGTGACCCTTACCCTCTAGGAGGCGCTGCTACTGGTTGAACCTACTACGCCTGCGCAGTATCAGCCCCGCCCCCTCCGCCGCCGTCCCGGAAACGCTTCCTTCCCACGCAGCCGCAGTCGCCTCTCGCTCGCTGGAGCTATGCCTCTCTAGCACGGTGAGGGGGGAGGAGGGGGCTCTCCTCCATGGTCCTATCTGTCAGCGCTGCTTCGGGAGCGCTCGGGTGAGGCCCGGCCAGGCTCAGACGCTTGGATCCTCGAGCCGGTAGCCGGTGAGTGAACCCCTGAGGAGCTTGTGTTTGGCGGGGGCCGAACGGCCGGAATGGGCAGAATTTTCGCTCACTCTGGGAATGGATCTGTCCGCCCCGCCTTCGCCCACCTCCCGAATTGGGCTCGCCCCTTGATCCCGGTCCCTCCTCCTCCCAGGCGGGACGGCGTTGCTAAGGTGACGGCTGCGGGGCTGAGGTTTGGCATGTGTCCCCGCAGGTGGCGGGGCTGCCTGGGGCCCATGGCACGGCGGTAACTGACTGAGGCACGGGCGGTGGCCAGGCCCCGGGGCCGGCATGGCGGGCCAGTTCCGCAGTTACGTGTGGGACCCGTTGCTGATCCTGTCGCAGATCGTGCTCATGCAGACCGTCTATTATGGCTCTCTGGGCCTTTGGCTGGCGCTGGTGGACGCGCTAGTGCGAAGCAGTCCCTCGCTGGACCAGATGTTCGACGCCGAGGTAGGGTCCGGCTGGCACGGGTGTGGGGTCTCGGCCTCATTCATTAGGATTTGTGGTCTGACGCTCTGGCTCTGCGTTCTTGCTTTGTGACCCTGGGGAAGGGGTTTCTCCTTTCTTAAGCCTCAGCTGCCCCGTCCATAGAACAGAATGGCTCAGAAGAGAAAGGCAGATGAGTGCAGCGGAAAAGATGGACCTTTCTTTTCCTTGTCATAAATGGGTCTGTGTCCTAGGAAAACCTGATATGGCTCCCTGGGAAAGTGACTTCACTTCTCCGAGCCCAGATTCTCAGGAGCCACATTGGAGAGAGGAGTGGGTAAAACGACATTCATGGGGGTACAATGGAAACTGCCTGGACTTTGGGATCAGACGGACCTCTAAGTTCCACTTGTAATCGCTGTGTGACTGGGGCTGGTGGAGTGTCTCAGGTGGTAGAACGCCTGCCTAGCGTGAGGCCCTGAGTTCAAATCCCAGTGCCAAAAAAAATTATCAACTTCCATAGGCTCGTGGCTCAGGAGGCAGAGATCAGGAGGATCGTGGTTTGAAGCCAGCCTGGGCTGGGCTTGCAAAAAAAATCCATCATAAAAAAGGACTGGTGGAGTGGCTCAAGGTGTAGGCCCTGAGTTCAAGCCCCAGTACCACAAAAAAAAAAAAAAAATTGCTGTGTGACTTGGGACAAATGTTACCTTTCCTGTCCGCAAAATGAGACTGGTGTTAAGAGAAATTGAGAATTGTGGTGCAGAGCCTGTTCTTAAGAGTTCGATCTAGCCCTAAACATACAGCTGGGTGAACTTGGGCAAGTTGCTTCACATTTCCAAGCCTTTTCCTGTTCTTGAGAGTGGGCAGAATAATGCTGCCATGTCACCCTCAGTAAAATGTTACCAGGCCCGGAGGGGCCTAGGAATACGAAAGTGCTTTATAAACTGTAATGGAGGCCTAATAGGTTATTACATCTGAGCGCCAGCTGTGGTGTATGGTAATGAGCATAGTGCTTGGAGCTAGGAGACCTAGGATGAAGTCCTCTCACCTGCTGCTTATGGTTTGCATAGCCTTTGGGCAAGTTATTATCCAAAATAAAGCCTTTGCAAGAATTTTCTAAGGATAATATGAGATTATGGATATCAAAGACCTTTGTAAGTTTAAAATGTGGTACAGATGTTTGGTATTGTGTCACGAGTAGTAAGGATTGCACATCCACCAGGTGCAAGAGTAGTAGCTTCTTAGGAGCCTTGGTCCTCCTAGGAAGGATATGTGGAAACCTGAGGCTTTGTTGAAGAGAGATTGAATGTTCTCAGCCTGAGTTCTAGGCCAGAGGTCAGCAAATCTGTTTTGAAAGGATGAGGTAGTAAAGATTTTAGGTCACAGTTACTCAGCTGTGTCATTGTAGTGCAAAAGCAGACACATACAATATGCAAGTGAATAGTCATGAGCTGTATTTCAATAAAACTTTATTTATAAAAGCAGGTGCCTAATATGTGAAACTAGTTTGATGAAACCTGTTCTAGACCTCACTCTTGCTGTTTACTATTATGTCACTTAGGGTAACTATCTTCTTTGAACTTTTATGTCTGCCTTTGTAAAGTGAGAATAATAATCCCTTCTATACCTTGAGTATCAAATGAGATACAATAATGAATGTGTATAAAAGTACCTTATTGGAAGTAGGCTGCCAAACAGATGAAGACAGTATTGTCTTCTGTGCTCTGGGAAGAATGCTTGTATTTTAGGAGGCCTGCTGGGATTCTGGAGCCTGGGGCTCTGCCAAGTCACTTCTGCAGCATATTTTCATTTGTGATTCCCCCTCAGATCCTGGGCTTTTCCACCCCTCCAGGCCGGCTCTCCATGATGTCCTTCATCCTCAACGCTCTCACCTGGTGAGTATCACCAGTTTTGCTATCCAGCTTTTGGGGTCTTAGCACTGGGACTAACTTCCTAAATTTGGACATGAGACAGGCCAGCACTTGTTCCTGGGAGTGATAAAATGGGTGACAAAGGCCAGTGATGGGACTGGCTCTGTCTTGGGACTCCTTCCATTGCTGTTTTGACTTACGTGCAATGCTCTTCTGTCACTAAGTGTGTGCTGCCTACCTGACAACTTCTACCTCAGATCACTTCCCTTAAGTGACATTAGGTAAGGAGTGAATTAGACTGGGAGTCAGGAGAACTGGCTTCTATTCTTGGTTCCTGTGCCATTGACTGTGTTACTTCCGTCTTCTTTGGGCCTCAGGTTCTTTATCTGTACACAGGGATTAGACTACGTAATGTCTAAGGTTACTCATGACCATTGCCTGTCTCTTGAGAAGCAGTTTAGCATAGTGATCAAGATCTAAAGTTTGAAGGCAGACTGTCTTCTTTGAATCTTAGTTTCACTACTAGTCTAATGACTTAGGACAAGTTAATCTAAGTCCCAGTTTGTGCATCATTAAAGTGGGGCTGATAATATTACCCACCTCATAGTTAGAAGGATGAAATGAGTTCATTCGCAGGAAGGACAGAACAGTACCTTGTACATTATTATTCTTGACCTTCTGCCGAAGTTGAAAATCGGTGGGCTGATTTTGACCTAACTTTGTCTCCCTGGTATATCATTTGACTTATATAGACATCAGACCACACATGGTGTTTAAAACATTTTTTTTTCACTTAGTTGAAAGTCAGTATATTTTATAGAAGTCAGATTTCTGGCTTCTCTTTAATAATGGGAAGATCAGTTAATTCCAGGCTGCCCTTTCAGCATGATAAGATGTGCCTAGATGCAAATAGCTCTTGTTCCTACTTTACTTTCGGAAGCCCCACCAATCCCCAGCATTTCCCTGAGTGTCAATTGTCATTTATCATCAAGCTCATACTTTTTATTTTCTACTCAGCCTGATCCACTCTTGATTACCTTTCAGGTTTCTCTAGGCATCTAGTACTATCCCTTGCTTCACACTTACCTTGCTTGCGTCTGACCACTATGCTATCATCCTAGCTCTTCCCAACCCCAAATAACCTAATGTAAGGCCAGGACAACCCAGTGACAATTCGCTGCTGTCCTCTCCCCACAGTGCCCTGGGCTTGCTGTACTTCATCCGGCGAGGGAAGCAGTGCCTGGATTTCACTGTCACTGTCCATTTCTTTCACCTCCTGGGCTGCTGGTTCTACAGCTCCCGTTTCCCTTCGGCGCTGACCTGGTGGCTGGTCCAAGCCGTGTGCATTGCACTCATGGCCGTCATCGGGGAGTACCTGTGCATGCGGACGGAACTCAAGGAGATTCCCCTCAACTCAGCCCCTAAATCTAATGTCTAGAATCGGGCCTTTTGGACTCTCTACTGGCACTTGGGGCTCCCAACACCTTGGGCTGCTCAGACCCTCCACGTGAGGTCTAGCCCAGGTCTGAGAGGAACCCTGGAAATGTGAAGTCTCTGTTGATGGAGAGCTAGCGAGGCCCCGCCAAGAAGGCAAGTAGCAGGATTACAGCTGCAAGAATAGCCTCTATCTGCCGAAACCTTGGTATCTGGGAGGTCAGAAAGGGGGACCTCTTTGAGGGTAATAACAGATTTGGAACCATGTTACCCTTGAGCCATCATATCTATCACCAGCGTGTTTAAAAAAAAAAAAATCAAGGATAGCTGATTGGAGCAAACCACTCTTATAGTCATGTCTTACCTCCCTGGGACAGCTTTTACTTTTGCCATGTTGCCAAACTACAGTGATTCTGTTTGGAGAAACACTTGCTTTCCAGGTCCACAGCCACAGAAAGAGACATAGGTGCAAAGTACTAGGCTGCTGTCAGGGAGAGGATGGCAGACAGAGGCATCAAGCACAAAGAAAACACATAATCTGTACTGTTGCAATGCGTGTGTATACCCAAGAACCCATGGCTAACTTCGAGTTCCCTCTACCAGGTCCCTACCCTGCTGCCATCTCTCAACAAAGCAGGCCATAGGGTCCAGAGAAGACTCTCAGCGTCACTTTCAGTCTCACCTTCATAATAAAGTGAGCAATGGTGCCCTGGCTCCCACTGGACCTCAGTTCTGGCAGGATTTTCTTCTTCCTATCTTATTTGAAATTCTACAGTAGGAAGAGTATGATGGGTGCACAAAAATAAAAAGCCCGGCTTTCCATCCCAGGCTGTGTTGATAGTGCTGATGAGGGTAGGAATTTGCTGCTAAGATTATCCTTAGTGGTGGAGTTTCCTCTGTAAGGGCCTTGCAGCTGTCCTTCCTATGTACATAAATCCAGTATTTTCTGGAGTTCTGACTATACTTACTCTGTAATGCCATGGCTGGGACTGAAAGAGATCATCACAGCCAGGCAAGAATTATTAGGCCACCTTCTTTTCTGGGTCCCAGAATTATTCCTCCATTTGGTTAAAACAGTAAATTTTGGGCTGGGTCTGGGTGGTATATACTGAGGCAGGAGAATCACATGTTCAAGCCCAACCTGGGCTGCACACAGAAACCCTGTCTCAAAAAGGAAAAAAAAAGTCAGGGGGTGGGGTGGGGGGGATAAGAAAAGAAAAACCAAGAGCAGGGAACTCCTGTGACCCCTTCTACCTGCACCACTTCTAAACTCAGCTGCTGCTAAAGCACCTAACACCCTCGCCCCCCCACTTGCTGGTGATTTCTAAACAGGTGCAATGGAGCACACTAGTTAGCCCTACTTCTGCATTGAAACCATCTGTGTTCCTCTTTGGTTTCTCTGAGGCTTGCCAAAGACAGCTGCTAGTTTTCAGCTTTTAGTGTCAGGGTTTACAAAGATGAGTTTTGTCATTGCCCCACAGAGATTTTCTAGCCTCCTGGCTCTCAGCCCTGCAGATTAGGGAATTGAGGCTGACAGGACGAAGGGCTAAGAGTGAACGTGCCTGGGCAGAGGTTGGGAAGGTGCTAGAGTGAGGCACCTCGGTAACTCAGTGCTGTGGCCAACCTGGAAAAAAGCAGCTTGTTAATGGGACATGATAATCCTGGCTGCAGGATTCCTAGACAGGAGGTAAGGATAGCTGGGTTGGTGGATTTCCCTCCGGACACCACAAACTGCAGACGTGTAACTATTTTGAAGAGCTTTGTGTGACTACCGTCCCTGTTGATGAACTGTGGTTGCTGTTGCTCTAGCTCTAGTTGGAACAGCTCTTTATGATTTCCTTGTGTCAGCGCTTATGCCATTTTTTTTTTCTGCCCCTTGAGTGTTAATTTGATTTTGGAAATTGCCAAAAGTCAAATGAACCAAGGTTTTGTTTTTTTGGGGGGTGCAGGTACTGGTATTTGAACTCAGGGCCTACACCTTGAGCCACTCCACCAGCCCTATTTTTGTGATGGTTTTTTTGGTTTTTTTTGAGATAGGGTTGTGCAAACTATTTTCCTGGGTTGGCTTTGAATGGCGATCTTTCTGATCTCTGCCTCCTGAGTAGCTAGGATTACAGGCATGATCCACCGGCACCCAGCTAAGCTTTCAATAATATAGTGACCAAGCTGAGGGACAGTTGCCAAAAATATGTTACCTTCACAAGATTTTTATTTTTGAATAATAAGAACAGTTTCTAGAGGTGCGTCCCAAAGAGGACTGTGCAATGGCAGTGACATACTTGCCATTTTAATAATAAATAACATCTATTGAGTGCTTAAAAGGAGTCTATCAGAGCTAAGGGCTTCATGTCTCCTTTCTCACTTAATCTTCACAACAACCCTCTGATGTAGGAAATACTATCAATATGTTACAGACGGGAAAACTAAGGAACTTAAGGCTACTTGTTAGGAGCTGGCAGTGCCAGAATTTGGGCTCTGGTAGTGACAAGTTTATTCTGCGAGGTGGGTAGTTAGGGATGTATTAGTTTGGATTGATTAAACAGTCTATCACTTTCCAATCATGCCTCTGATCCCACTGTATTGTTTTAAATACTAAGGGTCTAAGGTTTTAAATACTGAGGTGAATAGCGCTTTATAAACATTACTAGCTGTTCAAGAAAAACAAATAGTATTCTAAATATGACCAGAGATTTGCAAATGATTGCAAGAATGTAGGCAATGATTTTATTTCCAAAATATAACAGGTAGTATCTAGATCGAAAGCTACCTCCAGCTGGGTGCCAGTGGCTCCCGCCTATAATCCTAGCTACTCAGGAGGCAGAGACCAGGAGGATCGTGGTTTGAAGCCAGCCTGGGCAAATAGTTCACGAGACCCTATCTCGAAAACCCATCACAAAAAATAGGGCTGGTGGAGTGGATCAAGGTGAAGGCCCTGAGTCCAAACCCCAGTCCACCACTGAGTTGACATGCCACTTTACTTTCTAGGGGCCTGATGTCTGGACCTCCTTTTACACATGTACCCCATGGGCCAGTCAGAAAGAAAAGTAGAAACTATTGCATAATTGGTGCTCAAAATAGTTTATAACCCTGCAGGATGATGGGAAAAAAGAAAAAGGGATATTGTCCAAATCAGCCTAATGGGAGCCTGATGGTAGCTGGTAGACGTGGCGGGGAGGGGATGGTGAGGTTTGGTGGGAAACTCCAGGTTTCTCCAAGTCCTGGGGGGTAGACAGTTCCTGGGAGTACTCTAGGCTCTCCTAGAGGCTGAGTTTCTTGGACTCCTTCCTCTAACTCCCAGGTAAGGGTAGCTTCTTTCTGTCCCAGAGGGCAGTCTATGCACAGATGTGAAACACCACCCTGTACTTACAGCCCAGAGACCACTGTGCCTCTGGGGACCCAGGGCAGGGGCCATAGAGATGGATTCAAGGTATAGGATGCCTGGGAAGTTAAAAGCCACAGTCTTGCTTGAGGTTTTCTGTAGGAAAGTGGTAGGGGGTAAAGGGAGCTAAGCTCTGTCCTGCCTCAACCTGTGTAAGTCAGGGAATTAAAGTGCCCAGTGCTGGGAGGCTTTAAAGAGCTGCAGGGGAGGACAGGGTTAAGCCCTAGAATCCCCACAACTACCTGTGAGACCTTGAGTAAACTACTTAATCTCACCCTACCTCTTCCTCACTTATAAAATGAGGGTAATTTACAGTCCTCCCTTTATATCTACGGGAGATTAGTTTAGGATACCTGAGGATACAGAATTCCACAATGTTCAAGTCCCTTATATAAAATGGCATAGTAAAAACATTAAAAAGGTAATAAAATTGTGTAGTATTTGCATATAACCTATAATGTTCTCATATACTTCAAATGTTATCTAGAGCACTTATAGTATCTAATAAAACAAAGCAAATAATTGTTATACTACATTGTTTAGGGAATAATGACAAAAAGAAAAGCCCATACATGTTTAATATGGGTGAAATTTTCCTTCAAATATTTTCCATCAGCAGTTGGTTGAATCCAAGGGTGCAGAACTCAAGGGTGAGGAGGACAGACTACTTACTTCCTTGGGTTCTTGTGAGGATTTAATGAGATAGCATGCATAAAACATCACAGTGCATGGCACATAGGAAGTGATCCATAATTCTGTCAATAGTTATTAGGCAGCCACCCGCTTCCCCACTTTACCAAAGAGGAGAGAGTGTTCTTCTGAGCCTATGTATTTTCTGATTACATAAGGGATATGCTTGCCTGAGTTACAGGTAATGACACCAACTATTGAGTTCCTGTCTGCCATGCCCCACAAATGTATATTTTTATGCATTTATGTATATTTATATATGGTTGATACACAGTCTCACTTAATTCAATGTGAGAGGAATCATTCACTATCCCCTTCTCTCCACCCCCCACCATGCCCTGTTAATGAAGAACTTTCCCCCACATCGTACAGATGATAAAAAGCTAGGCCTATCTGCCTCAAAAGCCATATTTTCAAATTTCATTTGTTTTGAGTAGTTCCTGATCCAGACAATTGGGACAGTCTCAGGAATGAAGACACAATTTTTGCAGAAGAATGCAAATGTGAACAGAGCAGCTGAGGTTTTGTTTGTTTTTGCTGAAAAACAGGCAGCCAGTTCCTAAAAGCAGGCAGGTTAGGTAGCTATGGGAAAACACAGCAAGGACTTGCCTCAGGCCTTTATTATGGCAGGACTAGGAAGGAGATTTGGGGAAAGGCTAACATTTGTTTAACACCCCACAAACTGGCTTCACCTACCTAAGCCTGATTGGATTCAAGCCCTCTGAAATGGATTTTAGTGTCCCTATTTTAAAAACGGATGAAACAGACACAAAGAGGACCTGTGACCTTGTTCAAAGCCACTCAGTATAAAGCTGTGATTCAAACAGTTTAGTTTTCCTCCAGTTAACTGTTAGCCATTTCTGGGATGGCCTCCTCCACTGAACCCAGAAGTTAAAAGGAAGGTGGGTAGTGGAGAGATTCCAGTTGTGGGATTATGGGAGGCAGGCGGATATAAGGCTGGAAGAGTGTACTGCAGCCTTTGCTCCCCTGGTCATGCTGGGCCTCAGCCTGAGCACATAGGCCTCCCCTATACTGGGTGGCATTCCTGTGGGCCAAACTCTGCCATCTGGCCAAAGTGCAAGTTGCCGATCTTGCCCAGGTCCACCCGTTTTGGGCCTACACTTGTAGCCTTCCCTGGACATGCTGCCAGAAAGGCTGGCGCAGGTGGGGGCTTCAAAAGTTTTGTTTCGTTTTTGGTTGAGCACACGCTGCTATCCACCCCGATGGTGCACTCAAGACAAGTTCACGCACAGGTTGATGGAACAGAAGGAACTTGGAAAGGAAGACTGAGGAATGGTTGTTTTCCAGTGTTGATGGGACCGATGATGCCCAGCAAAGGAATCACAGTGGAGACTATTGAGAATGTCTGAAGTGCAAGCTGAGCGGGAAGACAGCAGGAAGCAGGGTGGGAGTGCGCATTGTTACGCTCGAAGGGGCGGGATGGGGGTCTGCACCGAAGGGCGGCGCTTAGGTGGCCATTGGGCTCTGCCAAAGTTAGGTAGCGTGCAGCTAGGGCTGATTCGCGGAAACTCAACAGCAGCCTGGCAGCGCAGAGCACTTCCGGCTCAGGCTGGGGCGCGGGTCCTAAGTGATGTCATACCAGGACATGGAGCACGCACTAGTGGGAAGTAGAGGTGCAAGCAGCGGAGTAAGTGGGGGGAAGTCCTCCCTAGATCTCCCTCTTCAACAAATGAGATCTCATGATGACTGCCATGCCTCTCCAGGTTTCTGGGCCCCTCGACAGATCTGCTGCTCTCTGGAGGTATCTTCTACATGCTCTGCGCGGTCTGCCTCCGGACTTAGGGAGGATTGCAGTCCGGAGAAAACCCGAGCTCCTCAGCTTTGCTGTCAACTGCTTGATGAGGAACCTATTGTTTCTGCTTACAGAGGGTTCCCGACAGAATGGGGTCGCCCCGGGGTTGGGGTTGAAAGTGGACTTGCCTTGTCACAATGGAGCAGTAAGGGACGAAGCGCTAACTCCTCCTCTTGACCTGGTGTTTTCTGTCATCTGTGATCCAGGTGGGGCGCGTTTGGAGGGCAAGTGACATCCATTCTTGACACCAGAGGCACTCATAATTAGGGCGCAAGGCCTGCTGGATACTGGAACTACTCTAATCGCCTAGTGGCGTCCCTTGCACTTTTTTCCTTTCTTGGAAAAATGAAATGGCGAGTAGCTAGGAGACCTAGGTTAGTTTTTGCTTCTTCCACTTTCTATCTGAATGATCCTGAGTAGGTCACTTGCTATCTCCGTGACGTGGTATCCTCCACTCCTTGGCGTGCAGGACCATTGTGAGGCGCCTTGCACACAACGTGTGTTCTCTGACTTCACAGAGTGCACCATGAGGAGTCCAGATCGCAGGGCGGGGAGCACAGGGTGGGAAGGAGGAAGGTTTCTTTGTTCCATTTCTAGACTGATGGTTGGAGCAGGGGGAGCTGGAAGTTGTGACACACACACACTCCCTCCCTGCCTTCCCCGAGGGCCTCTGTGCTCCATGTTTCCCAGCCCCAAACAGGCAGAGCCAGCGGTAGTATTCTTCAGTGCCATATGGGAGATTTTATTTGTAGACTCGTGAATTTTCCCGCCCATCCCTCCCGTTCAGCTGATTGTAGATCTCCATCCTGTCCTCACACATCAGGTTCCCGTCCAGGGTCACACCACCTGCGTGCAGAGACCTCTGGTGTTAAGGCGCTAAGACTACTCCCAGAGAGCATAGAGACAGGATGCATCAGGTGTCTGGGGCGGGTTTTGGAGAAGATTGACTTTTCAGGAGCTAGTCACCCCTTCCTTTCCTGGGACCTCAGTTATCCTACAGAGGGCTGAAGCCTTGTATTCTCCCCTCCCCCAAGGAACTTTTTATTAAATCTTATTTGAAGCATATCAGGGTGCATGAATGGTTAAGAGGATGTCCCTCTGTCCATCAGACAGAGAGCTGATTTGATCTAAGAGGGGATAAGGTGCAGCAAAACCCAACTTGGCCATTTCTTCCTGCCACATTTAGAACTCCCTAAACTTGTTTAAACCTTTGACTGTAAGATTCAGAGGCACAGCAGTTCCCACTCCTCCCAAGGCCTCCAGGTAATGAGATGACCTGCTTCAAACTGCACTTTCAGGGTCCCTCCTTCCCCAGAGCCCCTAGTTGCATCCTGAGAGGCCTTGGCCCAGCTCCTATCCTCTGTGTGGCCTTTCTGAATGGCTCGCCCTCTGAGGATGAAGGCAGAGCCTCTCAGCACTGCCAGCCACACCTGTCAAGACTCCAGCTCCCGAGCCTCTGACTCTAGGGCTCAGCTCTGGGTCTGGCTCAGGTTCTGCACCTCACCTGGGCCAGGCAGTGGCACTGTCACATCCACCTATGGATGGCACATAGACAGCTCAAGTGATGCAGAGCAGAAGCGGGTACAGCAGCGCTTGACCCAGCGCAGGTTGGAGGATCTACACATGATCCGGGGCCCTGGGAGGTGGATTCGTGTGGGCAGCCCCTCAAACCAGATGGACTTGTCAGTTACATCCAGTAGCTTCATGTCCCCCATAGGAGTTCTGTGGTGGGAGGTCTTCAGGAAGATGACGTGGGAGCCCCCAGTGTGCAGCTGCCGCCTGTGAGCTCCTGTGCTTGATGTCCTCGGATCCTCAGGCTGCATCTGCTTTTCTTCCCATGGCTCTGCTACAGGCGATCTCTTTGCCTTGGTCCCCACCTTGGGCCTCAAATTCTTGGGCCTTGTCTCCTCAGGTTCCCTTGTAGACTCCATTTGTTTTTCAAGGGATCTAGCCTCCTGGAGCTCATTGTTTTCTTTCACTTTATTGCAGATATTGTTGTCCCTGACAGAAAGATGAAAGACTGTCAGCAGAGCAGGATTAAGGCCCTGGTCCCAAGATAGTTGCTATGTAGCTAGCACAGGGGAACCTGTTACAAAAGCTAGAGACTTCTCTAACTGCCCAGAGGCCTGTGCCTGGTGGTAGAGAGCATGATTCATTTTGGTAGAAGGGATGACCAGTAGTCAGGGCATGTAGGAATATGTATTATCTGCATCTGCCACTAGGTTAGGGTCTGTCTCTCTGGACTTCAGTTGAGAAGGGAAACGGTCCAGTGTTCCTTCCAAATTGTATTCCAAGAAACTGTGGGGTTCTGAGGAGGTTATCTCCAGTGCTCTCACATGTTTCGGGGTAGGGGCCAGGATGAGGACAAAATAACGCCCCCCCCCAACAACAATGCAATTGGGGACTGGGGACAGATGGTTGAAGAGAGGCTCCACTGCTCAGGAAGACTATGGGGTTACATGCTCCTGTTCCTTCCAGTTGTTTCTTGACTGCCTATGCTTAGGAGGCCAAATCTAGAGAGAAGAGCCCAGAGGAAGAGTTAACAGGTATCACATGCTGGAAGAAGTCTCTCTCAAGGGTGTCTGTAATAGATTGGGCCCTGCAAAGCCCCATCCTAGCACATCCTCCTTTATCCTAGCTGTTTGGTGAGAAGTGAGACCTCAGGCTCGGCTCGAGGTAGTTGTGGTATAGGCAATGGAAATGTGACCACTGCTGAGTGAATGCTCACAGTCAAGCCCATTATTCTCATGATGATAGAGTACAGGCTTTGGAGTCAGAAAAACAGGCTTAACTCGTCTGGATTGGGTAAGAAAGTTAACTTCTCCGAGCCCAGGTGTCCTTAACTATAAAACTGGGGTAATTCTGTCTACCTAGGGTGATTATAAAGAGTAAACTAATTGGGAGCATACTCATAAAGTACTTAGCACAACAGCTGGCACTTTGGGCTGTGGGTGTGGCTCAAATGGTAGAGTGCCTGCCTAACAGCTGGCACCTAATAAATGTGGACTGCCTTAGAATTCTGATGTGACTGAAGAGGAACTGAGTCCCAACAAGATAATACTAGTCCACAGACTTCAGAAGCCAATCTGCAAGTCAATTTCTGAGTTGAGTTGATGGGAAGAGGACAGACTCTTCCCCTTCACTCAGTACCCCAGCTTGTGGTTAGGCTTCTAATTGGGTTATGACCTCTGCTATGGCCACAGCTCTGGTTTCAGAGAGGAATGACTTTGCCATATATCAGTTCACTTAATGAGCTAAGTCACTTAATCTCTTTTGCCTCAGTTTCTATTAGTAAAAATAGGTACAATAAACACCTGTTAAACAAAGCCTTTCTGAAAATTAGACTGCTGTTTAAATTCCTTAGCGCAGTGCCTGTTCTCAGTAAAGACAGCCATTGGATCCACCGTGGGAGTCACCAGTGGGCAGAACTCACCCAGAGGAAATTTCGAGAATCTTCGGAAACCTGAGTATTGAATTCCAGCACTTTCTGGCCAAGTGATGCAGTTCTTGGATCCGGCCATTTGAGCTCTTGAATAGCTTCAAAAGCGACAAGTTTCTTAACACCTGTGAGGGGCAAGAAAACAGAAAAATAGAGGCTCCAGCAATCCTGGTATAGCCCCCCCACACTCCCCTGTGTCTGGCTCAGCTCAGTGCAAGGGCTCAGTCTGTGGACTCCTCTGAGCCATTCAACCTGGCAACCAGGGGCAGCACTGTGTGAACACTCAGGCTCCCCTAAGCTGGGGCCAAAATGGAGTCTCTCACCATTTTAAGTCGGCTCAGTTCAATTAATTTGCTGGCAGGCTCCTTTATGTTGTCCCGCAGTTTCTGGTCTTGCATCTGAGGGACAGAGAAGGAGAGAGAACTAGCTCAAGAGCAATTATCCACCTGCCAACGTCTCCATTATGCCTCTTCATTTGGCTGAGCATGGCTTGACCCTCCTGGACTGGGAGTTTTGTCACCTTGACTTGGAGACAGAAATGGGTTGATAATTTTAACTCTCCTGACTACCCTAGCCTTCCCCGTGGGCTAGTAGTCCTTGGTGTGGCTGGATTCTCTGAGCTCCTGACATCACCCAGGTTCCAGTCCAAAGGCTGACCTTGGAAACCACCCTTTTCTTGGGCCTCTTCCTTACAGATGGACTCATGCTGGGGCTGTGAGGCCTTAAAGACTAAGAAGGAAGACTGGAGTGGGCAGCACTTGCACCCTGTCCCTCTCAGCTCAGCCAGCACTCAGACTGGGCATCACATGGTGGTGCTGGCGCTGCCAGGCAGGGGAGCTGTGACATCACTGAAATGTGTGACAGTAGCAGGGCTGGGTCTCCAGGGAGTACCTGTGGGGAAACACGCACAATAGGTGACAGGCAGAACATACAGTCAAAACCTCTCTGCGGGGGAAGAGGCTTATACCCTCTTTTCAAATGAGGCATACAAGGTTAAATACGTTAAATAATTTACCCGAGCCACCAAACTGGATGATGGTGGAGCTGGGAACCTAACCAAGACCTCATAATCAACCCATGAAAATGAGTTCCCAAACTGCCCATCTGTTCAGTCATGTCACATGTATTGCTGCATGCCAGGTTCTTTTCTAAGTGATGGAATAAAGAAATTCTTAATCTAAGCTAGGCACTGTGGCTCACACCTATAATCCCAGCTATTCAGAACAGGAGATTGGGAGGATCACAGTTAAAGGTTATTGGTTATTATTAGAGATTCCATCTCAACCAATAAATCAGGTATGGTGGTGAATTTTTGTCACCCCAGCTACATGGGCAGCATAAATAGATCAAAATCAAGGCCTGCCCAGGCAAAAACATGAGACCTTATCCAAAAAATAATAAGGGCAGGGAGCAGGGCTCAGGTGGTAGAGCACCTGCTTAGTAAGTTCAAGGCCCTAAGTTCAATCACCAGACCAGAGCAAAACAAAACAGGAAGGAAGGAATGGAGGGAGGGAGAGTCTTAACTCAAGGAGCTTACATTCTAGAGGAAGGGAAACAAAACCATGTGTATGCTTATAAATGTTTAAGTATTCAGCCCAAAACAGTGTGAGTTTATTATAAATTTCACTGATAGAAATCTTCAAATAATAAAATTTTATAATACTCTTTATCATAAATTCCATTATTCAATTACTTTTTTTCTTCTTTTTGAGATGTGAGTCTCACTCTGTTACCCAGAGCTGGCTTCAAATTCATAAATCCTCCTGCCTCAGCCTCCTGTGTAGCTGGGATTACAGGTGTGAACCACTCTGCCCAGTTTAGCCAATTACTTCTTAAAGTATGCTTTTCTTGGATTTTGCCTAACTCTTCTTTCTATCCATAGTAATATACGATTATAATGGATAAACTAATATAGTACCAACATGAATGTTGGTGCTTTCATTTGTACTAAAGTGAAACAAAGATGTTGGAGTTTCATTCACCCATCAGTGGCCTGATTGACTGCTGAACTGAACCATATTTTTGAATACTGGAAGTACATTTTCTAAATTTTTTTTGCTATCCACCACATAATAACTTTTACAATTACTCTGCATTATTAACATTTTCTCCATTACTTTTTTTTAGACACTCAGTAACATTTTGTTGACTGATGAGTGAAGGAATGAATGAATGAATGATTGAATGAGAAGTGGTTCCCTCTTTCTTTGAGGGTGGGGTAGACCTCAGTCTCCAGGTTGGAATGTTGTGGAGGGGTCTCTGGGGGGGCTCTTTTGTACCCACTGGCACTAGTTCCATTTCCTCATGGTTCCTCATATTCTGCCTGCCTTCATGTTGTCTGGCCTCACAGGAGGAGAAAGCAGTTTTGTACCTAGGGCCCAGATACCTGGAGATGGAGGCACCAGCCCTTGGAGGAAAATCTATTTGACTTTCCCTCTGTCCCAGAGTCACCTCACCATCACTTTCTTAAGGCTTAACCAGGGGTTAACATTTTTCTTCTGTAAAGGGCCATATGTTAGGCTTCTCAGGCTTCACAGTTGTAACTACCCAGATCTGCTATTGTAGTGTGAAAGCACACGTAGGTAATATGTAAGTGAATGGACATGTTTATGTTGAAATAAAACTTTATTTACAAAAGCAGTGGGTGGGCAGCATTTGTCCCATGCCAATACTTGGCCCAGATAATCACCAAAACAATTAAAACCCAATTTGTCAATCTTCCTTATTCTTGTGATGTACTCCTACCACTACTGATTTCAAGTTACCAATTGATCTCACTAAACTCAGAGTAAGTAGGGCAGAAATGCACAGCAGCATACAATCAATGATATATGCTGATATCTATTTCTATTATGCAGATATGCAGATGTGAAGGATCTGAAGCAGACAGACAATAATAAATGATAGTTTAAAAAGTTCAAGGAGGCCAGGCACCTGTACTCACCCCTGTAGCCCTAGCTACTCAGGAGACAGACATTGGGAAGATCCAAGTTTGAGACCAGCCAGTCAATAGTTCTTGAGACTGTCTCAAAAATACTGGACACAAAAAAGGTCTGGCAGGGAGGCTCAAGTGGTACAGCACCTGCCTAGTGAGGCCCTGAGTTCAAACCCCAGTACCACCAAAAGAAAAAAAAAAGTTTAAGGAATTTTTACTCCCATTTTCTGAATGGGGAGGAGGAAATGTTTCTTCCCCTTTTCCTCATTTCTCTCCACTTTTATCCTGTTATACTAGATTCCTTTTCTAGTAAACTACTTGTTTCACCACAAAAATGTTCAAAAGTAATGTGTTTGAATAGTTTTCACCTTGGTTTTTAGTATCACTTATTTAGTTATAAGTTTATATAACAGGTTAATGATGGCTGTGTTTAATGACTAGCCTGAAAATTTCCTCAAAGTGTAATAGTAGATTTTTGTGAGCTCTTATGAGTCAGCTTCAGGGCACCACTGTTACGTCAAATGGAGCTGGAGCAAAGTGAACAGAGTAAAGGGGATAAGGTGTGCAAAAGTAGAGAATTTGCTATATTAAAAAGTGTGGGCTGGGACTGCATGTGGTGATGCATGCCTTTAGCCCCAGCTACTCGGGAGGTAGAGGTAGGAAGAGCGTGACCTGAGGCTAGTCAGGGAAAAAGTGAATGACCCTATCATTGAAAAAGGGCTGGGGATGTGCCTCAAGTAGTAGAGCGCTTGCCTAGCAAGCGTGAGGCCCTGAGTTCAATCCCCAGTACTACAAAAAAAAAAATGTGGGCATGGTGGTGCACCCCTGTAATCCCAGCATTTTGGAGGGCTGAGGCAGAAGGATCATGAATTTTAGCCTAGGCTACATAACAAGACTCTGTTTCAAAACTAACTAAATAAAAAACCCAACAAAACAAGTGTGATGTGGGAACAAATCTCACCAACAAGTTGAGATTTGAGCAGAGACCTGAAGAAAACGAGGGAAGGGGAGAATGGTGGTGGCAGAAGATGAAAGCAAAGAGGAAGTTGTGGAGGATTGGGGACAGATCATGACAGGCTTTGAAGGACAATGGCAGCTCTGAAACCCTGTGCCTAGCTAACTGCCTCAGAATGGCCTGAGGAGCTCATAAGAAACAGCTTCTCAGACCCCATCCCATTCAGTAGGCCAAACTGACACCCAGCAAAGCCTGGGACCCACTCCACACCACCCTGCTTGTATGCATGCAGAGGGAGCACTCTGCTCTGCTTTTGAGGGGTGAGGCACCAAGAATAGCTTCTTCAGGGTAAGTGTCTTTTATTATTAGAGTGAAGATGAGGTGGCAGGGGAGACGTTAAACTAGTTCAGGAGAGAAAACGAGGAGTGACAGGAGGAAGACATCCCAGTCCTATCTTCCTCCTGTCAACACCAGCACTCTTTGGCCTCTCCTGCCTGCATGGTCATCCCTCTTCTTGCTAGAACGATTTCACCTCTTACCTGTTGGAGTCTACTAGACCAGCTACTATGGGGCTCTGGGTGCCTGGTGGGCTGCATCAGACTCATCTACAGCTGCCCCTCAGCCCCTGGGCATCAGGGCTGGGACCCACCATGTGCTCAGCACGAAGGACAGCAGCAGTCCAGGCAGCAGGTCCCTCTCTTCTAGTTCACAGGCCAAAGGGAGAGGGCTCCTCTAGCTTGTAGCCTCCTCCAGGGTAGGGATTCCTGTCTGTTTCATTCACTGATAAACTCCCAGAGCTTAGGACAGTGCTAATAGGTATGTTTTATAAAATGTGTAGTTTTATGTGTGATAAGCCTCCAACCCAACCTGAGAAGATCAGGGAAGTCTTCCTAAAGATGATGATGAAGAATGAAGGCTAAGTAATAGCCGGGCAAAGAGGTGTGAAGTGAGTAGGGCATTCTCACTGGAGGAAGTTTAAAGATTGTAGGTATGGAATGGAATTCTGAACAGTTGCAACTTGCTGGACTAGAAAGTAGAGACTGAAAAAAAAAAAAGTAAAAGAGAAAGTAGAGGCTTTGAGTGGCAGGGGTTGATACTGGAGACATGAGCAAGACTTAGATCATTAAGTGCATGGAAACCAGACTGAGAAGCTTAAGCTCGCAGTTTGTTCTGAGGGTCTGGAGAGCACTGGATATGCTCCAGACCCACTTATATGAGGCACCCACAGTAGTCACATTTATAGGGACAGAAAGAAAAGTGGTGGTCACCAGGTGGCAGGAGAGGGGTAAGTGGAGAGTTAGTGTTTGATGGGTGCAGTTTAAGTTTTACAAGGTGAAAAGAGTTCTAGACATGAGCAGTGGTGATGGTTGCACAACAGTACAATTACACTTAATGTCAGCAAACTGACACCTAAAAATGGTTAGGATGGCAAATTTCATGTTCTGTGTATTTTGCCACAGTTAAAGAAAAGGAGTAAAGTTTTCTCGTTTAAGAGCCTTAGACTTAGTCTTCAAAGTTTACCAGCTGTGTGTTATTAAGTCTCTCTCCCCATAAGAGGTTTTTTTTTTTTTCTGTGTAAATGGGAGTGTTAAACAAGATGGAAGATTTCTTTGTGAGCCATTGCTGATGTACATTGCTGAGGACTTTGTGGTCCCTTGGGGATGAATTGTTTCAATGTGTACAGCTTCAGAAGGGAAGGAGGCAGATGAGTAAAAAGTGTTGACTGAGCCAGGTGTGGTAGCGCATGCCTGTGATCGAAGCACTAGTGGCAGGAGGACTGCAAGGTCAGTTTGGGGTACATAGTGAAAGCCTGTCTGGGAGAACAAACAAACAAACAGCAAAAACCAACAGTGCTGTCAGGGGACAGCCACTTTGGAAGACAACTTGGTGGTTTCTCACAAAATTAAACATGATCCAACAATTGCACTCCTTGGTGTTTATCCAAAGGAGTTGAAAACACATGCCCACATAAAAACCTGCACACAGATGTTTATAACAGCTTTATTCATAATTGACAAAACCTGAAGTCAAACAAGATGCTCTTAAAATAAATGAGTGATAAACTGTAATACTTCTAGACAATGGAATATTAATTAGCACCCAAAAGAAGTGAATGGTCAAGCCATGGAAAGACCTGGAGGGAAAAAATAAAACAAACAACCAAAAGGGACAAAAACAAAAGACCTGGAGGAAACTTAAATGCTATTACTAAGAAAAAGAAGACAATACCAAAAGGCTGTATGCTGCATGATTTCTATTACACGACACTCCTGAAAAGGCAAAGCT